AACATTTATTAAGTAAAGGGCCAAACTAAAATATTAAATTAAATTTAAAAACTAAACGTTCAATTGAGCTTTTATTAAATTAAACTACTTTAAATAATTATTTAGATCATCTTTACTATCTATAATAAATAAAATCATCTTAAGACAAAATAAAATAAATCAATTAAATACACAATTCTTTATTCTACTAATCAATAACATAAATTAACAAGAAAAAACCCTATCTTAATTTTCAGAAAATAATAAATAAATTATAACATTCTTTATTCTACTAATCAATAACATAAATTAACAAAAAAAAAAACCTATCTTAATTTTCAAAAAATAATAAGTAAATTATACTAACTATTTGAATGAAATCACACGCCATATAAAATAAATATTTTAATACAAAAAAATTAAAATATATCGGTCTTACATTTAACACCATAATTATTCTTTTATAAAAAAATCCAAAAATTAATATATAATAATGTTGTGTCTCATAAATTAATAAAAATAGTTTCTAAAAGAATTGATTTTGTTATTTAAAAAGGAACAACAACATAATTATTACCGATTTATTTTTTATTTATGTATAATCTATATTATATATACACTAAATTAATCTATATCTGTATTAATCTTTCAATATGATATTGCAATTTATCAAATAAGTAACATCACCAAAGTATCTTTGAATTGATGGAAATAAAAAGAGTGGAATGAAACATTCTATATATTCATTTTATTATTTAAATATTTTATTAAAAAAATCTCATATATACATAAAATGTTAGACCAATGTAATTTCATCTTAACATTATTTTCTTTTCAAACATAAAATAAAATTATATGATATTATTGTATTATTAAAGAAATGGAACAAGAGATGGATAAACCCCTCCCCCATCATCGACTTAACTTAAACCCCAAAACTCCAAAATTCCAAGAAGCCGCTCCATGTAGAAGCTGGAAATCCATCAATGGATCTCATAATTACACATTCCCCAAACCCGTTTTCTTCTTTCGTCAACACCACTCACCCCAACTCTTCAAAATTCTAATTTTTTCACGTTAGCCGCACCTTTCAGCAGCCGCAGAAAGTTCAAGCTTCGAGCTTCATCTACGGCAGGCCCAAATGGCGCTGACGGCTCTTCTTGGTCACAGTCATTGGAACGTGCTTCGAGGCGCTTCTTAGTGAAATTCGGAGATTTGGTGAAGAAGGAGACGGGTGTTGATTTGAGAGATAGTGTTGTGGATGGTGTCAAGAATTTTGGAAGTGAGTTTCCAACTCCTTCGCTGTCCGAGTTTGTGGATTGGAACCGGTTTGAATATTGGAAGGTGACTCAATTTAATTGCTTTATAATCAAATTTTGTTGTTAATTTCATTATAGCTTTTGGCTTGATTTGATTTTATCTTTTGTTATAGAAGTAGCTTATACATAAGCACTTATATGATAAACACTTATGCTCTAAGCATTTGAGTAAAAACTTTATCCAAACAGTGCCACAGTCTCTCCCATTTCCTTTTACATACTTGATTGTTTGATGAGTGGGATTGACTATGTTGGCATTTATGTATTTTCTATCTTAGAAATTAGAACCGTTTGTGTCCTGCTAAATTTTTAGATAGAAAGATGTGCTATGTTGTATAAACTGTTTCACTAGTTTGGCAGAAGTGGGCTCTTTGCTTATTCATATATATAACTGACTCCAGTTATTTTTGTTATTGTTATTCATTTTTTTTTTTGAATGTGTAACTAAAAAAATAAAGTTTATTCTCGTACCAGAATGTTAAGAATTGGGAACCTAGGCGAATCGGTGCTTTACTTCTGTATATATTTGTTGTGGCATTTGCTTCTAGAGGAGTATATGTGGCAATTCGAGCACCATACGTAAATCGCCAAAGGAAAGAGTTGACTGAAGCCTACATGGAAGCGTTAATTCCCGAGCCATCCTCGACTAACATCAGAAGGCAAGTCAATCCTAGTTTATTCTCATATGCTTTTAATACGTCTGCCACTTATTTGTTATACAGTAAATCCCTAAAATATTGCCAATGTTCAACTAATTGCTGACATATCTGAAGAATAAACTGAAAACAATTTCATGTATTGAATCGTTTAATGTGTTGTATACATTTATCCAAGGTTTTCATCATTTAATTGTAGATTTAAGAAGGGTTTGTGGAGGAAGACAATGCCAAAAGGCCTGAAAATGAAAAAGTTTATTGAAAGACCTGATGGAACACTTGTTCATGATACCACTTATGTTGGAGAGAATGCTTGGGAGGATGATCAAGAATCTTCCGAGGAACATGTACAACAACCTATAGAGGATGATGAAAGGTTTGATAGTGAAGAGAAGGAAGAACTAACCCAAGACCTGGCGATTTCAGGTTCTCTTTAATTTGTAAAATTTTAGTTATTTTATACACACACATGCGTGCCCCGTGCAATGGATATTTATTCTGATAGAAACGTGGATGGTAGGATGGACCATCATTTGTTACTATAAAATAGGGAAGAAAGAGAGAGATGATTATCTGAGTTGTTACTATAATTATAGGAGTTTGTTATAATAATTATAGGAGATAAAATAGGGAAGAGAGAGATTAATCAGCTAAGTTTGTGTCTATAAAATAGGAAAGGAAGGGAGGGAAATAGGTATCTAATTATTCTATTAGGGTTATTAGAGTTATATCTTAGAATATGAATAATCAGCACTATAGAATAATTAAGTCCAGCCTTAATTTAATAGAATAAGAAAAGTCTTCCTTAATTGTAGAGCTTGAATGATTCAACTCTTGAATGTTCATCTCCTCTTGTATAAATAGAGCATAATGCTCCTTTCCAATTAAGCAATAACAGAATCTGTTTCTCTCTTTTCTCTTTTAGCTTTTTCTCTCTTCTCTCTCATATCTCACTCTAATATGGTATCATAGAGCTTCGGTTCTATCCATGGCAGCGATTCCAGTAACTACAGCTCCGGCCACCCCAACATCTATGTCCTTCCAACTCAAAATCACAGAAAAACTTGATGAGAAGAATTTCCTACTTTGGCGCCAACAAGTAGATCCTTTCGTTAACGCGAACAATCTTCAAAACTACCTTTACCTTCGTGACATACCGAATCAATACCTGACTGATGAAGATCGTGCCGCTGCTCGTGAGAACCCTGCGTATCGCACCTGGATTACGCAAGATCAGTGGCTTATGACGTGGCTTCAATCCACGCTTTCACCTTCAATTCTTTCACGTGTTCTTGGTTGCGTTCATTCCTACGAGCTCTGGGAACGTATTCTTGCGCATTTTCAAAAGCTTACACGTGCGAAAGCAAGACAACTACGAGCGGAACTCAGATCTACAACACTTGAAGACAAATCTGTTGGTGATTATCTGGTTCGCATCAAAGCTCTTGTTGACGCGCTTGCTTCAGTAGGAGATCCAGTTCCAGATCAGCAACACATTGATGTGATTCTTGAAGGTCTTCCTCAAGACTTTGCCTCTGTTATTTCAGTTATTGAAAGCAAGTTTGATTCAGTAGAACTTGAAGAAGTTGAAGCTCTTCTTCTTGCTCATGAGATGAGATACAACAAGTATAAGAAACACTCACAAATGGAGGTGGCTGCCTCAGTGAATCTCACTCAAGCCAATTCTCAACCTGAAACTGATAACTCGAATAACAAGAACAATGAACAAGCTGTGAATTCAACCTTTAATCCAACCTATTCAAGAGGAGGCCGTGCAGCTGGCCGTGGTGGTGGACGCGGCCGTGGGAGAGGTAGGTTCAGCAACATTCAATGTCAAGTTTGCTTCAAATATGGTCATCTTGCTGCTAACTGCTATCATAGGTTCAATCAACAATTTCAACCTAACATACCTGCTGATTTTCAAACAATGAACCTACAAAATTTCTATCCGTATCAACCAATTGGTGGACCTCAGTTTGCTCAGCCCATGGTTAACACTCGGTCACGCCCAAGCTATCAACCAAGACTTGCCCCTCTCCCTGTTCCTCAGTCACATATCACTCCCAATGCTATGATTGCTAACACAACTTCAGTTCCAAGCAGTGCCTGGTTCCCAGACTCAGGAGCTTCTTATCATGTTACCAATGCCTCTCAAAACATACAGCAAACCACACCTTTTGAAGGTCCTGATCAGATCTTCATTGGTAACGGTCAAGGTTTGCACATTCACTCTTCAGGCTCTTCTTATTTTCCTTCTCATTCTAAACCTAACACTCCATTAGCTCTTCATAATTTACTGCTTGTTCCTTCTATTACAAAGAACCTGATAAGTGTCAGCAAATTCTGTCTTGATAATAGAGTTTTCTTTGAGTTTCATGCTGATATGTGCTATGTCAAATCTCAGGCTACCAATGAAATTCTGCTCCAAGGTCGTGTAGGAAGTGATGGCCTGTACCAATTTTCCCATCTTCAGCTTCTTAAGTCTCCTTCAACAAGTCAAGTCTCATGTCTCACCTTAGACTCTAATGCTCATGTTTCAAGATCTGATTCCAGCACTAGTGATAGGGTTTCAGTTTCTAATCAAAATGTATCAGCTAATAACTCATATAATTCTCAACATACTTGGCATTTACGCCTTGGTCATCCAAATTCTAATACTATGAGACTTGTTTTAGCTCAATGTAATATTCCTTATTCTAATAAAGCTGAATCTATCTTTTGTTCTGCCTGCTGTATGGGAAAGGCACATAGGCTGCACTCCCCTCAGTCACAAACTCAATATCACTCTCCTCTTGAATTAATTTTCAGTGACCTATGGGGTCCTGCCCCAGTCAAATCCTCCCAAAACTTTACCTACTACATCACCTTTGTTGATGCATACACCAGATTTACTTGGATCTATTTGCTCAAAAATAAATCTGAAGCCTTAACTATCTTTAAACAATTCAAAGTCATGGCTGAATTACAATTTGGATTTCCTATTAAATCTGTCCAAACTGATTGGGGTGGTGAATTTCGCCCATTTACAAAGTTTCTTTCTGATCTTGGCATTATTCATCGCCTAGTTTGCCCTCACACTCATCACCAAAATGGTGTAGTGGAGAGGAAGCATAGACACGTTGTTGATCTTGGTTTAACCCTCTTGAGTCATGCCTCTTTACCTCTCAAATTTTGGGACCATGCCTTTTTAACCGCTGTCTACCTAATAAATAGGTTACCAACCATGTCTCTCAATCAACATATACCATATGCTGTCCTTTTCAATCAAAATCCTGACTATAAATTCCTTAAAGTCTTTGGGTGTGCTTGTTTTCCTCTCCTTCGCCCATACAACTCTCAAAAATTTGACTTTAGATCCCACGAGTGCCTTTTTCTAGGGTACTCTACAGCTCACAAAGGTTACAAATGTCTCTCTCCAAGTGGTAGAATATTCATCTCTAAAGATGTTCTTTTCAACGAGTCCAAATTTCCTTACAATGATCTTTTTTCCTCTAATGTTTCTCTCCCCTCATCAACCATTCCATCCTCCTCCTCATCTAAAGTAACCCTTAACACACAAGCTCTCCCTCATATTTTTCCCGTTCCTACTGCTTCCACTACCTCACACTCCTCTTCTTCTTCTCAATCCAATTCCAGCCCCACACCTATTGTCTCACACTCCTCTTCTTCTTCTCAATCCAATTCCAGCCCCACACCTATTGTCTCACACTCCTCTTCTTCTTCCCAATCCAATTCCAGCCCCACACCTACTGCCTCTGGGTCAGCAACCCCTATAACACAAACAGCCAGCACTAATCCTACTCCTTCACCCTCTTCAAATGCCAACAATCAGCCTACTACTACCACTTCACTATCCTCCTCCTCTATTTATGCTCCTAGGGATCCTAACCTTCAGCCTCTCCCCACCAATACTCATCCTATGACTACTAGAACTAAATCTGGTGTACCCTTACCTCGTCTAAATCCTTCCATTTTTCTTGTCAATTCTGAGCCTAAGAGTGTTAAAACTGCTCTCCAAGATCCTAAGTGGTTTGCTGCTATGCAAGAGGAGTATGGTGCCTTGATAAGGAACAACACTTGGTCTTTGGTACCACTGCCTGCTAACAGGAAAGCAATAGGCTGCAAGTGGGTTTTTCGTGTAAAGGAAAATGCTGATGGGACAGTAAATAAGTACAAAGCTAGGCTTGTTGCTAAGGGGTTCCATCAAGTCCATGGATTTGACTTTAATGAAACTTTCTCCCCTGTTATTAAACCGGTCACAATTAGAATTATTTTGACTCTTGCTCTAACTTACAATTGGCCTTTGCAGCAGTTGGACATAAACAATGCCTTTTTGAATGGCATTCTTGAAGAGGAGGTCTATATGATGCAACCCCCTGGATTTACTGCCCCTAATTCATCTCTGGTTTGTCACTTGCACAAGGCCTTGTATGGCCTAAAACAAGCCCCGAGGCAATGGTTTGAAAGACTCAAAACCACTCTTTTATCCTTTGGCTTTCTAAACAGCAAGTGTGATACTTCACTTTTCATCTACAAGCATCACAATGCTGTCATTTATATGCTGGTTTATGTTGATGATATAATCATCACAGGAAACTCCCCTCCTCTCATCAAGCAAGTTACTCAACAATTAAATCATGTGTTTGCTCTCAAACAACTTGGTGACTTGGATTATTTTCTGGGCCTTGAGGTGAAGAAATTGTCCAATGGAAATCTCCTTCTCACTCAATCTAAGTACCTAAGGGACTTGCTAATCAAAACTGATATGGAGAATTCCAATCCAGTTGCTACTCCTATGGCTTCCTCCACCAAACTCATCAAAACAGGGTCTGCTGCCTTGTCTGATGCCTCCCACTACCGGTCCATTGTAGGGGCCCTGCAGTATGCAACAATTACACGGCCAGAAATCTGCTATGCTGTTAACAAAGTATGTCAATTCATGGCACACCCCTTGGAGTCCCATTGGCTAGCTGTCAAGCGTATTCTGCGCTACCTAAAAGGAACTATCACCTCTGGTTTATTGTTCACTCCAGCCTCCACTGTTCCGTTCTCTCTGCAAGCCTATTGTGATGCTGACTGGGCTGCTGACCCAGATGATAGAAGATCCACCTCTGGGTCAGCTGTGTACTTAGGCCCTAATTTGATCTCTTGGTGGTCCAAAAAGCAAACTGTTGTTGCTCGTTCTAGTGCTGAGGCAGAGTATCGCAGCTTGGCTCACACCACAGCTGAAGTTTTATGGGTTCAAACTTTGCTAGCTGAACTAAAAATTCCCTTGACAACTCCAACCATCTATTGTGACAACCAGAGCACAGTTGCTATGGCTCATAACCCTGTTCTTCATGCAAGAACAAAGCATATGGAAATTGACCTCTTTTTTGTAAGAGAAAAGGTGATTAATAAGTCTCTCACTGTCTGCCACATTCCTGGTGTTGACCAGAAGGCTGACATCCTCACCAAGCCTCTCTCATGTTCAAGATTTATGGAGCTCAGCAGCAAGCTCAACCTGTCTGCCTCAAGTCAGCCTTTGCAGCCACCTTGAGCTTGTGGGGGAGTATTAGAGTTATATCTTAGAATATGAATAATCAGCACTATAGAATAATTAAGTCCAGCCTTAATTTAATAGAATAAGAAAAGTCTTCCTTAATTGTAGAGCTTGAATGATTCAACTCTTGAATGTTCATCTCCTCTTGTATAAATAGAGCATAATGCTCCTTTCCAATTAAGCAATAACAGAATCTGTTTCTCTCTTTTCTCTTTTAGCTTTTTCTCTCTTCTCTCTCATATCTCACTCTAATAAGGGTTAAGGATCACCATCTTGGTGAGGGAAGCACCGCGTATTTAGGGGCTGATACATTTTCTCTATCAGTTTGTTGTTTTCATCATTGCTATTTCTTTGTAATTGTTAATCCACAATAATACAATTATGACATTCTTTTACTATTCTATTCATATACTGACTGTTGATCTATATATTCATATAAGAATCCATCAATTGGTCCGACCTACCGGATTAAAACTCTACCGACAGAGATTGTAGATGCCAAGGAAACCTAAGATGGGAGACCGGATTGAAGCTTTTGGAGAAACAGATGGAGAATGTAACAACGACTTTGTAGGGTCTGGCTCTGCAGATGCAACAACAAAGTGTACTATTAACTGAATTGAGCAAACAGACTGGTAAGAAAACACAGGAGGCAGAGACATCTTTTGTTGATTCGTCACAAAGCGAATCGCGTCTTGCGGGGAAGAAGGTGAAACTTCCCTTGTTCGAAGGGGGTGACCCGGTGGCATGGATCACACGAGCTGAAATTTACTTCGATGTTCAGAATACATCGGATGCGATGCGGGTGAGATTGGCTCGACTGAGCATGGAGGGTGCAACAATCCATTGGTTCAACTTACTCATGGAAACAGAGGACGATCTGTCCTGGGAGAAATTGAAGAAATCGTTGATTGCATGTTACGGCGATCGCCGATTAGAAAAATCCATTTAAGGAGCTATCCACCTTCCGGCAAACCAGCAACGTGGAAGAATATGTGGAGGCGTTTCAGTTGCTGTCATCACAGGTGGGAAGATTGCCGGAGGAGCAATATTTAGGGTATTTCATGAGTGGATTGAAGGGGAAAGTGTGAGCGACGATGGGAGATTATATCCATGGAGGTTAGTGAAATTGAGGAGGAGGAAGAGGCAAAAGATGAATGTAAAGCGATGGGAGTTTTAGGGAGCATGGGAGAGTTTCATACCATGAAGGTCGAAGGAAAGTTGATGAATATGGATGCTGAGGTGCTGGTGGACAGTGGTGCTAGCCACAATTTCATTTCCCCTAAGGTTACAACTGCCTTAGGTCTAGAAGTCACTCCTATTACTGCTAGAAACATCAAGCTGGGTGATGGACATAAGGTGACTTCATTGGGAGTGTGTAAAGGGATAATAATTAACCTGGGATCGTGTGTGGTGACCGTGGATACTATGGTTCTTGAGTTGGGAGGTCTAGATGTCGTCCTAGGAGTGTCTTGGCTGTCAACACTAGGTCAAATGATGATGAATTGAAAGGCCTTAACTATGCAGTTCTGGCATGAAGAGAGAGAAGTGATGCTGCAAGGACAAAGGAAATTACCTAGAGAATTAGAGGTTACTGAAGCTGCATATAGGTATCCAGACAAGGTGTTGGGCTCAAGGGTCACTATGAAGAAGGGCACTGCAGTTCACCAGAGTTTGATCCAATGGAAGAATAAGTCTATTGATGATGTAACAAGGGAAGACAATGACGATTTGCATGGTCAGTTTCCTAAATTTGGACTTGAGGACAAGTCTGTTCCTATGGAGGTGGGAGTTGATAGAAACGTGGATGGTAGGGTGGACCATCATTTGTTACTATAAAATAGGGAAGGAAGAGAGAGATAATTATCTGAGTTGTTACTATAATTATAGGAGTTGGTTATAATAATTATAGGAGATAAAATAGGGAAGAGAGAGATTAGTCAACTAAGTTTGTGTCTATAAAATAGGAAAGGAAGGGAGGGAAGTAAATATCTAATTATTCTATTAGGGTTAAGGATCACCATCTTGGTGAGGGAAGCACTGCGTGCTTAGGGGCTGATAGATATTCTCTATCAGTTTGTTATTTTCATCGTTGCTATTTCTCTGTAATTGTTCATCCGCAATAATACAATTATGACATTCTTTTACTATTCTATTCATATATTCACTGTTGATTTATATATTCATATAAGAACCCATCATAATCCTTTTAGCACTAGGCTGGATATGGTCATAATAATATGAATCAAGCAATTTTATTGGGGTTTCGCTTTGTTTTTATATCTGTCCAATGGGACACATAATTCAAAGTTTTCTTCCTTTTAATTCTTATTCTTATTGAAGTATATTTTCATGTTCGAAAGCAGGCAAAGTTAAAACCGAGGGCACATGGCGCGAAAGACTTCATAAATGGAGGGAAATCCTTGGAAAAGAGCATCTCACTGAGCAATTAAATTCCTTAAATACCAAATATGCAGTTGAGTTTGACATGAAAGAGGTTGAAAGTAATCTTCGCAAGAATGTGGCAGAAAAGGCCATAGCCATTCAGGGAACAAGAAGTGTGTGGATAGCTAAGAGATGGTGGCGTTATCGTCCTAAACTTCCTTACAACTATTTTCTTGATAAACTTGATAGTTCCGAGGTGAGTTTATCTATATAATTCTATTGCACTTTATATTCTAGTACATTCTTTTAACACTTAAAGTCAAATCAGTAACTATAACGACTTTGACTATTAAATTTAAAAGTTGAGGTGCAGAAAGAATAGAGAGACTAGAGAAGATAGATTGAATTTCATTGAGGATTCTATTATATATTCGTTGATTGAATTCAGTTACAAGAGGATTAGCATTTATATAGACATGCTAATCCTACACCCTTAGGCTATCTAATCCTACACCTCATCATAACTAACTCATCATAACTAACTCAAAGTTAGTTATGATGATGTGGCACAAGAAGCTACTATAAGCTCCCTATGGGTCTGTTTGGGGAGTTGGTTTTGGGGGGAAAACTTTAAAGGGTTGCGTCTATATTTTGAACAACAATATGATGTTATATGCTAATATATTCTATTGTTTTTTCAACTTTTTAAAAATATCAAACACATTTCGAAATATAGACGCAACCTTCCAAAACCCTCTAAAAACCACCTCTCAAACAAAAGGGAAAAACTAGCATAACTAACACCGAGTTATTTATTGCTGAACTTGCAAGATAACAAATGATGGTACATATCTCACACTAACTAACATGTGAACATATGAATCCTTATGTCTAGTTAAATTTTATGCATATGAAATTTGAAAGCAAGTTTGGTTAGGATGCAATTGCTAAGTTATTCTTTTGGACAGGTAGCAGCTGTTGTCTTTACGGAAAACATGAAAAGATTGTATGTGACAATGAAAGAAGGTTTCCCATTGGAATATGTTGTAAGTTACTTAATAATCGACACTGCTGATTAGAAATATCAAAGGTTCTCTTGCTGTTGGGGGCATCTGATTGATTAACATGATTGTTATCTGTAGGTTGATATCCCTCTGGATCCTTATCTTTTTGAGATCATTACAAGTTCTGGAGTGGAAGTAGATCTCCTTCAGAAGCAACAAATCCATTATTTTTTGCAAGTTGTGATTGCAATTTTACCTGGAATACTAATTCTATGGTTTATACGGGAGTCTGTGACCCTTCTGCACATCACTTCCAATCGATTTATTTACAAGAAGTATAACCAACTCTTTGATATGGCTTATGCAGATAATTTCATTATGGTAAGTGTGGAATAATCAATACAGAATCAAAATGATTCTGTTTGTACAACCCGTTAGGATTAGGATTATTGTAATTAGTTAGCTATTATTTCCTGTTTTTTCTATAATTAGAATTAGCTTTTATGGGAAATTAATTCCCCTGATTCTTAGGGCAGATTTCTCTTTCAAATACTGCCTTCTATATTCTATAAATACAGCGTATGTAATTTTCATTAGACAAGGAAATATAAAATATATTCCTACATGGTATCAGAGCACGATCTGAACCATCCCTAACCTAGCGCCGCCAAACTATGGAGGATCCCAAAGTTGATGAATTGCTCAAAGTGGAGACTGGATCATTTCCAACCAGTTCACACAAAGGGCTCACTCACCTCATCACATGCCATAAATTAAATGGTCAAAACTATACCCAATGGGTAAGGTCAGTCAAGATCTTCCTCGAAGGAAAAGGAAGGGAAGGCTACACCACAGGAGATTCTAAATGTCCCGAGAGCGGAAACAAAAACTTTCAGAAATGGAAACTTGAGAATAGCCAAGTAATGTCATGGCTGCTCAATACCATGACAAATGAAATTGGTGAAAATTTCATGTTCTATGACACTGCAAAAGAAATATGAGATGCAGTAAAGGAAACATACTCAAATGTTGACAATACATCTGTCATATTGAGATAAAAAGCATTCTTCATGACCTTCGACAGGGAGAATCTTCTGTTACCGAGTATTTTAACATACTTAACAAACACTGGCAGCAACTCGACATATATGAACAGGTTACATGATGTTGCTCAGAAGATCAAAAGAAGTATAAGGAACTGGTGGAAAAAGATAGGATTTACAAATTCCTACTGGGACTAAACAAGAATCTAGATGAAGTTCGTGGAAGGATTCTTGGAACTAAACCACTTCTCAAAATTCGAGAAGCCTTTTCAGAAGTGAGAAGGGAAGAAAGCAGGAGGAAAATCATGTTGGGGACACCTAACTCAGTTCCATACAGCGAGAGCTCTGCAATGGCAGCAAGAGGGAATCAGCCCCGGCCACCGCAAAAGAAAACCCGCCCCTGGTGTGATCACTGCAAGAGACCAGGCCACACAAAGGAAACTTGTTGGATCATACATGGAAAACCTTCAGAGGCAAAACTGTTCAAAGGCAAGGAAGGCAGAGGTAACACAACATGTAACAATTAAGAAAGTGAGGTATACCCTAACTCATCTCTTTTTAGCAAAGAACAAATGGAGGCTCTTCAAAAACTCTTTCAGCAAACCATGTTAACTGCAGAAAAAAGTGGTACTGCTGTAGTGGCTCAAAGAGGTAATTACTTACATGCTCTAAACACTAGTAAGAAAAAAACAGAATCATGGATTGTTGACTCAGGGGTTTCAGATCACATGACTGGAGATTTTACTTTGTTTAATAGTTATTCTCCATGTACCTATAACTATAATGTTTGAATAGCTGATGGTACACTCTCTAAGGTCATGGGTAAAGGATCAATTATCATTTCACCAAATATTACACTTCACTCTGTTTCGTACGTGCCCAAACTGGATTGTAACTTGCTGTCTATTAGCAAGATTACAAGAGATTTGAAATGTGTTACTAAATTCTTCCCTAACTTGTGTGAATTTCAGATTTTGGAGTCGGGGAAGACGATTAGCAATGCTGAAGAGTGTGCTGGACTCTACCTCCTTCAAGTGGAAAAATCAGAAGAAAAACTCAAGAATAATTATCGTATTGCAGCTGCAGTTTCAAATGATAATAATCCTATAATGATGTGGCACTATAGATTAGGCCACCCAAATTTCACATACTTGGAAAAGATGTATCCCTCTTTATTCAATAAAAACAAGGAACATTTTCAATGTGAAATTTGCCAATTGTCAAAACATACCCGAAACCATTACTCACCCCAATCCTATAAACCCTCCAAACCTTTTTCATTAATTCATAGTGATGTATGGGGACCATCACGAGTCCACAACATTACAGGCTCGAGATGGTTTGTCACCTTTATTGATGATCACACACGTGTTACCTGGGTGTTTCTAATGAAGGAAAAATCAGAAGTAGGGAGAATATTTGAAATTTATCATAAGATGATACAAACACAATTCCAAAGCAATATTCAGATACTTAGAACTGACAATGGTCGTGAGTATTACAACCTTGCTCTAAATTCCTATCTTCAAAAGGTTGGAATTGTTCACCAAAGCTCATGTGTGGACACTCCCAAACAAAATGGAGTAGCAGAAAGAAAGAATAGACACCTTTTGGAAGTGACTAGATCAATCATGTTGGCCATAAATTAATATAATCTGGAGAAAGATTTCGTGTTTGACGTATACCGTTTCGAAGGGCAATCGGAAGATCAAACTCAAGTTGCAGGATCAGATACGGTGATGGCGAAGGCGTCAGAGGAGAGTCTGCAATGACCTCAGAGACATGTACAACCTCAGGGACAAGTACGACAGACGTTGGTTGGCGATGCTGGTATGGTTGAAGTGTGCGTGAAGTAGGGGGGGGGGGGGGGTCAACCTAGGGGTATCTAGTGGGTCAGGTTCCCTAAAATGATGAGGGACAATGGCAGATGGGCCTTTCGAAAGAGGTGCGGGAGTACTTTCCCGAAGGGATTCCGGAGTTACTTGGTTGGATTCGAAATATGGAACAGACTCGAGAAGGTAACATCGACCGATACGAGGTATCGTTGTAAAGTATGTGAGTAGCAACGATAACCTTTTTGGGATCGATGATAACCAAAAAAGACACACTTTAATGGTTGAGCTGATAGTTTATCAAGACCAGTAGAGACATTGTGTACAAAACATGTGGACCCAAAGACTCGAGGAGAAATTGGGTGAAATGGGGAATTGGAAAAAAAGATTGAATGAAGAATTTTATTGTTAAGGACAAATTAGGGCATGCGATTTATAAGGTGACATGCCGTAAGCACAACATCCTCCCAAAATCGAAGTGGAACATTATCATGGAGAAGTAAGGTTCGAGTGGTTTCTACGAGATGCCGAATTTTGCGTTCGGCTGCCCCGTTTTGTTGAGGTGTATGAGGGCAAGATGTTTGGTGAAGAATACCATTGCTCGATATAAAAGTTTGAAATTTTTGGGATAAGTATTCACGAGCATTATCACTTCTTAAGGCACGAATAGACACACCAAACTGAGTTTTTATTTCTTTATAAAATTGTTCAAAAATATAAAATAATTCAGATATATTTTTCATTAAAAATAACCACGTGTAACGTGAAAAATCATCAATAAAGGTGACAAAATACCTAGACTCAAGAGTAGAGACAATATACGAGGGACCCAAACATCGGAGAGTGAACTAAAGCAAAATGGAACGAAGCTCGTTTATTGACTTGATTGGGAAATTGACTACGAGTGTGTTTCCCTAACTAACACGACTCACAAGGTAAACTAGATACCTTCGATAAACTTGGCACCAACTTCAGTAGTTTGGGAAGACTAGAATGACCTAACTGAGCATGGATAGTGAGTGGAGAATCTTTGGCTGAGCATGTCTGAGATGACAATGAGAGGTAATAAAGGCCTTGAGACTCACTTCCGACGCCAATAGTCAGTCCCGAATTCCGATCCTGCAGGGTAACATTACTGTCAGTGAAGGTGACAATACAATCAAGAGAATAAGTTAAACGACTGACTGAAAGTAAATTAAATGGACAATTTGGTACATAGAGAACAAAAGTAACAGAGAGAGAAGGTTGAATTTGAACAGTACCAATCCTTTCAGATCGTGTTTGAGAACCATTGACATAAGTTATTGTAGGTAAGAAACCCGAGGTATAGAGGGAAGAGAAAAGATTTTTTATTACCAGTAACATGATCAGACGCACCAGAATCAAGGACCCAAGGTCCAAGAGAAGATGATTGAGAGAGACAAACGGATGATATAACATTGTATGCAACCGAAGCAGTAAAATCTGAGTTCTGATAAATCATCGTAGTTTGGCGTAAAGTTCAGAGGAATAGCCATGAGTATCTGAAAAGAGAAAATATCACACGAACCGGGTGAAAAAGGATCCGTTTAAACTGGATCACAGTTTTCCGTGAGTGAAAAATAAAATCTGAGACCGGATTTGGAACAGTTGCACGAAGGCGTGGAAAAATCGTCGGGATCGACCGGATTGGTGGAGGTGCTTCTGCCGGTAGGGTTAGTTTGCCGAAAGGTCGCCGAAACAATAGCGGCGACAGCTGCAGTCCGGTGGTGACCAAAGAAATTCAAAAACTAATGCCGGAATGAGTCACAACAGTGTATGAAAGGCAAACCAGAGTTATGACACGATTTGCCATAATTTCTCACCGGAAGACAGTGGGTCAACTGGGTAAAGCATAGTGAAGTGTTGTCTCTCAGCAGACTCTGGATACCTTGTTAAAATACGAGTCTAAAAGATATTTGAATAAACCTTGTGTTGAATAGCACAATGGAAGATGCATTATATAGGAAGAAATATAAATCGTAGTATTAATTACATAGATATTCTACTATTCTAGAATATACCAAAGAATATTCTTAGAGAATATTCATTTTCTACATATCAACAGTTATAAATAATACCGCTATATGGTCGTTTTATCCATGAAGCACCGACACAGACACAAACACGACGACCCCAATAATGATTTAAGGAAACTAATTTGTTGGAGCTATATTTAAATTAGTGCTCTTTTCTATTGGAAGAGACTTCAACTTTCGTATTAATATTGACCCCTCTGAAGTTTTCAATGCCGAAGCAGGGAATCCAAATTTAAATCAAATATCTGGTTCAAATTTTGTAATTTTTCCTCCTTTTATACTGCTTTACTATCCAAGTTTCTTTACTAGTTATGTTCCTGTGTTTGTCAGCCAGTTGGAGATGCTGGTGAAACAAAATCTATGTCCAAGGAAGTTGTGTTGGGAGGTGATGTTTGGGATCTGCTGGATGAGTTGATGATCTATATGAGAAATCCTATGCAATTCTATGAAAGGGATGTGAAGTTTGTTCGGGTAAAATATTTGATATTTCCGTAGCCAGTCATTGTCCTCAATGATACATTTCAAGTGATGTACAATACTAGGTAAATTGTTTGATGAAAAACCAAATTGCAGGGTGTTCTACTCTCTGGACCTCCAGGAACAGGAAAAACGCTTTTTGCAAGGACACTAGCAAAACAGAGTGGTTTGCCTTTTGTTTTTGCTTCTGGTGCTGAGTTTACAGATAGTGAAAAGAGTGGAGCAGCTAGGATTAATGAGATGTTTTCCCTTGCTAGGAGAAATGTAAGCAACTAAGCACTAACCACTGCTAATCTTAGATGCAATTTAAAATTTCAATGATAGTCCGGGTCCTTTTTTTATTTATTTATCTTTGTTAGAGACACTCTTGCTGAGATTTGTTTGATCCATTTTTACCATTTGTAGATAAATGGAAATTAGATGTTTTTAACATGTTTCAAATCCTTGAATATAATTTTAAAAGTATGAATGAATACATTATTTTATAACTGTTTGCCCCGAATCCGTTCCACTATAGCCTTGTGGCTGATGATCCCTAAAGTTTTGTTGTAATTACGTATTTCATCAATAGGAAAACATTTTACTCCTCTCGATATGTAAGCTTAACATTTTTAGCCCAGCTCATTTTGTTCAACGGGTGCTGTTTTCATTCATAACTTGAGCATGGTAGGTTATAAGTATTATTTTTTTTTTCTGCAGGCACCTTGTTTTGTATTTGTAGATGAAATAGATGCCATTGCTGGAAGACATACTAGGAAGGATCCACGTAGAAGAGCAACTTTTGAGGCTCTTATTTCACAGCTTGATGGAGAGTAAGTTATTACTATGTGTTTACATTTATTCAGAATATTGGAATTCTTGAATGGATTTAATATAGGCATATACAAAACAAACTATGATGTGTAGTTGAGACTTACGCTTTTAACAGCACATGTCTTTATTTTCTCTCATTTAACATGGGTAAAACAGAATATGCTGTGTAAAAACTGTGTCTACTTATTCTCCGATGACAATTTTTCAGCAACCATGATTCTTTTTTAGTTTTCGCCTTGTTACAGTTAAACCTCGAAAGTGGAACCTGTATTTTATGATATTATGAGGATCTAGTCCTTGTATATGCTGTTACACACTCCACGTGGATTTTTCCCCATTGGTATCGCATACTTTTCATAGATGTTGCCATTTTAAGTCACCCTTGGAGGTCTATGTGTTGAAGAACCATTCACGTTACAACTAATTAGTTCACTCTCTTTATGTTATGTCGTATTAATTTCTAGTACTTCCGTCTTACCATTTTGTATGAAGATCCATGCTGATTGCATCTTCATTATATTTTCTATTTAATGACTTTTGTAGCTGTCTGTTCATGAATATAGGAAGGAAAAAACTGGTGTTGACCGTCTATCTCTCAGACAAGCGGTCATATTTATCTGTGCCACAAATAGGCCAGATGAATTAGATCTTGAGTTTATTCGACTTGGAAGAATTGATCGTCGTTTGTACATTGGCTTGCCTGATGCAGATCAAAGAGTCAAAATTTTTGACGTGCACAGTTCTGGAAAGCAACTTGCAGAGGATGTGCATTTCACCAAGGTATATGTGTTATCTATATATTTAGTTCACTGCCATCTCTCTTCCCACTCACTCCCCTTCTCTCAATTGAACTTTCAGTTGATTTCTTATCTTCTCTAAATAGGCACATCATCGCTTCGAGGAATTGTTAAGTCTCTTCAATATGAGAAAATAGAGGCATAATATTATGTAATTATGCGTCTAAACCACACAACAGAGTGGTTTCTATATAGGCTAAAGGCAAATGAAAAATAACTATAGGCGAAATTGTTCCTATTCACATGGTGTTACAATACAATATTTCCTATACATTGAATACTATAAAGATCATAATATATTTGAGAGTTTCATTGTACACCTAGTAGTGTTGATTTACACTTCTGAAAATCCGAAAATACCCTTCAGATATGCACATTCGAACGCACCTTGCAAATTTGGAATATTGGGTTATTTCGGATATGCATATCCGAACGAACTCCTATATTTCATTTTCAGGGAGATTTCGGATATGCATATTCGAAATAACTCAATATCCCAAATTTCTTTTGATTTTATTTTGAAAAAATATTTATTTATAATATAGTTATAATATAATTAAATTGAGTTATTATTAATAAAGAATAACTTAAATTTATAATTGAAAACTAAATATTAAAGTAAATTTATGATATGAAATTAAACAATAAATGCAATAATTAAATTTCTAATTATAATGGTGAAATGTAATTGTCTTTTAATTTTTTATTTAAATTATGAATAATTTTTGATAACAAATATAAGAAATATTTTTTAATTATAACTTTAAAAGTTAAATTTAATCTAGATGACACTTTTTAGTTTTTATTGTAGAATTGATAATTAATTATTTTGTAATTGGAAAATTTATTATATTAAAAAGATATTTATATTATAATCAAAAGTTGAATGTTATTAATAATTAATAATATTAAAATAGGACATTTAATATTAAATGAATAGATTCTTGTAAAAATAATAATGGGACATTTAATATTAAAATAAAATCAAAATAAAATCAAAAGAAATTTGAAATATTGGGTTATTTCGGATATACATATCCGAAACAACCCCCTATTAAATTATTTGGTTATTTCGGAGGATATACACATCTGAACGAATCCCTAAAAAACTTAAATTTGGTGCGTTCGGATATACACATCCGAATTCTGGAGATATTTTGAGTTTTTCACCAGAGACCTGCAAAAAGACTACTAAGTGTACAAAGAATTCTCATATATTTTTAACAAAATCCATAAACATAGAGTAAATAATTAAATAAAAAAAAGAAGTATAATTAGAAATAGGTTACGTACTTTATGAGAAATATTACAATGTGCCATTCTGTATAATATACCATTTTGTGAAAAAAGGTTGCTTTACTATACACAGTAGAAAGTTTAGTTTCATATAAGTTTCTGGATAGGGCATGCAGTGCTGAAATTATGAGTCAGTCTTGGTATTAGTATGCAATCAAATTTCTAATGGTCAAAAGACTCAACATAATCTGCTTTAAAATTATCCACCAAAAGAATTGCCACAAAGTTGGACAGGATTTTTCCATTTTCATCTCTTTCTTGAGTTAGTATATTGTTAGAATCAAAGCCTTGTACTTATTATTAGGGTTAGAAGCATAGATTAGGATTTAAACCAGCGAATTATATCAATTAACATTTATAGTACTTTTCTAACATGCTATTATAAATATAGAGGTTACTTGATCTGTTTTTTTTTTTTTGCTGACTATGCTCTTTCTCTGTCCCTGAGCAGCTTGTCTTCCGTACAGTTGGTTTCTCTGGAGCAGATATAAGAAACCTTGTCAATGAAGCAGCAATAATGTCGGTAGGTTTGTGTTTGTGCAGCATAGACAATTGTAGGCTTATAGCTACTATTCTTCAAATTTCACCTCTTGCATACACTAGCTCCTATAGTCTTTTAATTAAGATGTTTCTCAGCATACTGAATTTTATAAATGAAATCAATATATTACATTTTCAGGATGATTTAAAAAACCCAGATGGAAATCTTAATCACATGGAAGTTATGTTTGTGTCATCTCATCTGCATGAGTAGAAATCATTGCATATCATTTTCAGCATCTTGTATTCATTTTGACAATGACAACATTTTGATCTTGTTAATTTGAAAGTGATAGAAATCAAAGATGAATTTTTCGTTACTGTTTATGTAAAAGTTAGTTACAAGAGGAGATACACAGTTGTATTTATAGCAGCAACTTGTGTGACTTATTATAGCAGGTCAGCTACTGCTCTAGACTTGACACCTGTCAGTCATTTACAAGGCTATTATAATATTAATACTTCTATTCTTAACTCTACTCTAATACTCCCCCACAAACTCACGGGGAGCTGCTGGTAGCAACCCTGAGTTTGTGCCTGAAGTCCAGAAACTTAGTATATGAAAGTGGTTTAGTAAGCACATCAGCAATCTGATCCACACTAGGGATATGAGTAACTCTAATCTGCTTGACAAGAACTCTTTCTCTCACAAAAAAGAGGTCAATTTCCATATGCTTTGTCCTGGAGTGCATGATGGGATTGTGAGCCAGCATCACTGCAGATTGATTGTCACAAAGCACCACTGACTGTTGAGTAGGAACACACAGTTCAGTTAATAAAGTTTGAAGCCAGAGAAGATCAACTGTGGCCTGAGCTAAACTTTTGTATTCTGCTTCTGTGCTGGACCTAGCAACCACATGTTGCTTCTTAGACCACCATGACACTAAATTTCCTCCAAAATAGATAGCTGCACCAGATGTACTGCGCCTATCATCTGGTCTGAAGCCCAGTCAGCATCACAGAAGACTTGAAGTGAAGGAGCCTTAGATGGAACATGGGGGGATAGATGAAGACCATGCTGGATAGTACCTTTAAGATACCTGAGTATTCTTTTGACAACAACCCTGTGTTTCCAGAGGATGAGACATAAACTGACAGACTTTATTAACAATATAAACAATGTCAGGTCTTGTGATGGTTGCATATTGGAGAGCCCCAACCACATACCTGTACATATATGGATCAGTAAGAGCAGAGGAACCAAGTTTAGTTAGCTTGCAGGAGGACTGCATAGGAGTGGTAACAGGGGCAGAGTCAACCATGTAAGTTCTCTGCAGTAAATCCCTAATATACTTAGTTTGAGTGAGGAGCATAGATCCCTAAGCAGCAGGTTTTACTTCAATACCAAGAAAATAAATCCAAATCACCCAGGTGTTTGAGAGAAAAGTCAGAGTTAAGTTTATGAATAATGGACTGAAGTAGAGTAGTGTTATTGCTGGTGATGATGATATCATCCACATACACTAGCAAATAAACAGTGTTACCATTTGCAACAAAAGTGAACAAGGAGGGATCACATTTGCTGGGTTTGAAGTGCAGTCTAAGAAGAGCCTCTTGTAACCTTTCAAACCTAGGGGCCTGTTTCAAGCCATAAAGGGCTTTGTGCAGTTTGCACACAAGAGAAGAATCTGAGTGAACAAAGCCAGGAGGTTGATCCATATAGACCTCTTCATGGAGCAGCCCATTTAGAAAGGCATTATTAACATCAAGCTGCTGAATAGACCATTTGCGAGTGAGGCCAATAGTCAGGATGAGTCTAATTGTAATTGGCTTCACAACAGGAGAAAAAGTCTCATTAAAATCACACCCTTGCTTCTGATGAAACCCTTTTGCTACAAGGCGTGCCTTGTACCTGCTGACTGAGCCATCTGGGTTTTCCTTGATGCGAAACACCCACTTACAGCCTATAGATTGCCTACTAGGTGGAAGAGGCACAAGGGACCAGGTGTTATTGTTACTCAAGGCATCAAATTCAGACTGCATAGCTTCTTTCCACTTAGCATCTGCAAGAGCTTGTTTCATAGTTTTAAGTTCTGTATGAGTGAGTAACAATTTGGGATGCAGTCTGGGTTGCACAAATCCAGTTTTGGCTCTTGTTGTCATGGAGTGTTGGTTGATAGGTTTAGAACCAACTGCTACAACATTAGCTGGAAGGCAGGATGGTGTGGGAGTGGTTATTGGAGGCTTTGAGGGAGAAGACAGAGGTGAAGTCTGAGGAGTAGGATCACATTTGCTCGGTTTGAAGTGTAGTCTAAGAAGAGCCTCTTGTAACCTTTCAAACCTAGGGGCTTGTTTCAAGCCATAAAGGGCTTTGTGCAGTTTGTGCACAAGAGAAGAATCTGAGTGAACAAAGCCAGGAGGTTGATCCCTATAGACCTCTTCATGGAGCAGCCCATTTAGAAAGGCATTATTAACATCAAGCTGCTGAATAGACCATTTGTGAGTGAGGCCAATAGTCAGGATGCGTCTAATTGTAATTGGCTTCACAACAGGAGAAAAAGTCTCATTAAAATCACACCCTTGCTTCTGATGAAACCCTTTTGCTACAAGGCGTGCCTTGTACCTGTTGACTGAGCCATCTGGGTTTTCCTTGATGCGAAACACCCACTTACAGGCTATAGATTGCCTATTACGTGGAAGAGGCACAAGGGACCAGGTGTTATTGTTACTCAAGGCATCAAATTCAGACTGCATAGCTTCTTTCCACTTAGCATCTGCAAGAGCTTGTTTCACAGTTTTAGGTTTTGTATGAGTGAGTAACAATTTGGGATGCAGTCTGGGTTGCACAAATCCAGTTTTGGCTCTTGTTGTCATGGAGTGTTGGTTGACAGGTTTAGAGCTAACTACTACAACATTAGCTGGAAGGCAGGATGGTGTGGGAGTGGTTATTGGAGGTTTTGAGGGAGAAGACAGAGGTGAAGTCTGAGGAGTAGGAGGTAAATTGTTCTCAGGTTCAGTGATAGATGGGGAGACATCACCTGACTTACTTGTAGATGTAGAGGAATTGGAGGAGGTGGCAGAAGCAGGTGAGTCAGCAAAAGAAAAGGGAACAGCTGTTAGAGGCATAGGCTTAGGGAGAGAGACATTGGAAAAGAGAGAGAATATGGATGATGAGGAATTCTGTTTGGCAGGGTTATTGACATTTGGAGCATGTGAAGTAGATGGAGAAAATAACTCAAGGTAGGGAAACCTGGATTCATGAAATAGAACATCCTTGGATATATAAAGTTTGCCACTAGGGGAGAGACATTTATAACTCTTGTGAGAATTGGAATAACCCAAAAACAGACATTCATGAGACTTGAATTCCAGTTTGTGTGCATTATAAGGTCTCAGGAGTGGAAAGCAGACACAACCAAAACCTTCAAGAATTTGTAATCAGGCAAAATGTGGAACAAAAGAGTATAGGGAACCTGAAATTGAATAGCTGAGAAGGGAAATCTGTTTATGAGAAAAACAACTGTGGTGAAGGCATAATCCCAGTATGTTAATGGTAAGGAAGCTTGACTTAAAAGAGTCAAGCCTAGATCCACAATGTGCCTATGTTTCCTTTCCACCACTCCATTTTGGTGGTGAGTATGAGGGCATATAATCCTGTGCACTATGCCGAAGTCACATAGAAATTTGCTGAAGGGACGAAATTCCCCACCCCAATCTGACTGAACAACTTTGATGGAGAATCCAAGTTACAGTTCTACAAGAGACTTAAATTTTTTGAAGACACTAAGTGCTTCAGCTTTAGATTTAAGTAAGTACAACCATGTGAACTTGGAAAAAGCATCAACAAAGGAGATGTTGTATGTAAACCCTTGTGCGGATGTTTGGGGAGAAGGCCCCCACAAATCACAGTACATAAGTTCTAAAGGGTGAAGATAAGTGGTGTGTGAAATAGGTGAATGCAGTCTATGTGCTTTACCCATACAACAGACAGAACATAAATATTCATGATTTTTATTGCTGAAATTGAGATTACAACTTTGTAGCACTAATCTCAAGGTGTTGATATTAGGATGGTCTAGTCTTAAATGGCACACATTGGATAAAGCAGGAGAAATAGTAACAAAATTAACAGAAGGTACAAGCTTATTGGAAGAGTCTAAAGACTTGGTAGATTTAGAAACATTAAGCAAGGGAAACTCATACAGCCCATCTGAACCAACTTGACCAGTCAGCAAAACAGCATTAGACACCTGACATTTGACAAAGCATGAATCAGCTGTGAAAAGGAAGTAAACATGATTGTCACGACAAAACTGACTCACACTTATGAGATTCTTGGTAGTGGAAGGCACATGTAATAGATTATTTAGTGTGAGAGGTGTGTGAGGGTGATTTTGAGACAAAAATTGACTAGAACCAGCAGAGTTAATAAGTAAACCTTGGCCATTTCCTATGTAAATCTGTTCATGACCCTTAAGAGGTGTGGCTTGCTGCAGATTATTTGCATCATTGGTGACATGATATGAAGCTCCTGAATCAGGATACCAGGACACAACTGATGTAGAGGGAGTTGCATTTGCAATGAATGCGTTGGGAGAGGAATAGGTAAGAGCTGGCCTTGCTTGAGCAGCTGGAGGTCTTGTCCACACATTAGCAGGAAATTGGCCATAAGGCACCTAGGAAATTGCTAAGGAGCTGCGTTGTAGGGATTACCACTATATGAGGGAGGCTGAAAATGTTGATTGAACCTACTATGCCAGCAATTGAAAGCTGAGTGTCCAACCTTGGAGCAAACTTGACATTGAATTGTGGAGTTCCTGCCACCTATACCTTTGCCACGACCACCCCTGTTTGATCTACCACCTCTGAAATTGGAATATGCAGGCTCTGCATGAGAGGGAGCTACCTGTGAGTGAGTAGAATCAATACTTCCAGATTGAGGAGTTTCAGGGGAAGCTGCTTGAGGTGAAGTGTGTGAGGTTGAGAGATCCAAGATCTGACACAGTGGATTTCTTGAATTTGTTCAGCCTCAGTTCATGTGCAATTAGGAGGATTTCAACCTCATCCAAATCCATATCACCAAATTTGCTCTCTACAACTGAAACAACAGGAGCATATTCACTAGGAAGCCCCTCAAGAATCACATCAATATGGTGAGAACTGGGAATAGGATCTCCAATTGAAGCCAAAGCATCCACAGTCATGCGAATTTTCAACAGGTAATCAGAGATAGATTGAGACTCCAGAGTTAGGGCACACAAGTCTACACGCAATTGGCGTGCACGTGCACGTGTTTGCTTATGGAAGTAACTGAATAAGCGATCCCAGAGTTGATGCGAATGAGAGCATCCAAGAACACGCGACAAAATTTCGCTCGAAAGAGTCGATTGAAGCCAGGATATGAGCAATTGATCTTTTTGAAACCAAATTGAGTATGTAGGATTGATCGTACCTTGACGACGAGCATCATTGTCCACGAATTTGGGAGGAATTCGAGTGCACACGACGAGATCTGTGAGATTGTGCGCGTTGATGTAGGGCTCCACTTGTTGACGCCAGATGTGGAAGTTTTTCTCATCAAGTTTATGCGCGATCTTGAGTGAGAACTATAAACGGCGAGTTTCATCAGTCGCCACCATGGACGGCGAGTTTTGCACCGTGACGTTAGCAGAAGACGGCGATCCCGCTGAAGTTGGTGACGCCATGGATCGAATCTAACTAAACTGATACCATGATAGAAATCAAAGATGAACTTTTCATTTCTGTTTGTGTAAAAGTTAGTTACAAGAGGAGATACGTAGTTGCATTTATAGTAGCAACTTGTGTGACCTGCTATAGCAGGTCAGCTACTGCTCTAGACTTGACACCTGTCAGTCATTTACAAGGCTATTATAGTATTAATACTTCTATTCTTAACTCTACTCTAATACAAAGTAATCTGTGATGAAACATAAAATTAAAATTATATCTTTTATGTTTCCTTTATTATTTTAATCCTATAAAGTTGTTGGTTTCAGGTGAGAAAAGGGCATTCCAAAATTTTCCAGCAAGACATTGTTGATGTTCTAGATAAACAGCTGCTTGAGGGTATGGGTGTTCTTATCACCGAGGATGAACAAAAAAAGTGTGAAGAAAGAGTATGTTTGTCTTTTGTAACTATTTTCACCATGGATCTAATATAGTGAAACATGGTATTTAATTTTTTCGCTGTACCACAGGTATCTTTTGAAAAAAAGAGACTGCTGGCTGTACATGAAGCCGGTCATATTGTGCTTGCTCACTTATTTCCTCGGTTTGACTGGCATGCATTCTCACAGCTTCTGCCCGGTGGTAAGGTATGATTATGATACGATATCTGGTTACAATAATATACAAAATGATGATATTTGAATACAGTTACTATGGCTTTGTATGAATTTCTGTTTGACTTCTGCAGGAAACTGCAATATCTGTTTTCTACCCTCGAGAAGATACGGTAGACCAAGGTTATACAACTTTTGGTTACTTGAAAATGCAAATGGTAGTGGCCCATGGTGGTCGATGTGCTGAACATGTTGTATTTGGTGGTGATATTACTGATGGAGGAAGGGATGATCTAGAAAAGATAACAAAGGTAAATACTATATCATTTTAAGATATGTTTGTTGCCTCGAGGAAATGATTGATATTGCCGATGTTATTGCGGACCGGTTTTAAGGCATTCTGTTAGGTTAAAGAATAAACGGATTTGAAGTTAGTTTAAGTTAATTGGAGTAATTAGTTTTCATTACTTCTATGCTAATCATTGAAAACAAGAAACAAAGTGAATCAAATGGCAGTTTTGTAATACTTGTACTCTAATATAATTTTGCTTATAAAATACCAACTAACATGTGTATCAAATTAAACTAAATCATGGTATGTAATATGTACCGGTAATATACTTTAAGTTCAATTTAATCAGTTCACTGTCTTTTAAATTTGATTTCAGATTGCTAGGGAGATGGTCATCAGCCCTCAAAATAGAAAGTTGGGGTTAATAGCTTTAACAAAAAGAGTTGGCTTAGCTGATCGGCCAGACGCTTCAGATGGCGATTTGATAAGATATAGAGTAATCCTCCTTTAAAACATAAATTTCGTTTGTGTACACCACTCTTTGTACTGTTAACTGAAAATAACATTTGCTTTTTTATTTTATTTTATTTTTTTACATTCATGATTAGTGGGATGATCCTCAAGTAATTCCTACAAAAATGTCGGCAGAGTTATCTGAGCTATTTATGCGGGAGTTGACAAGGGTAATATTAGTTTACTTTCTCTCGATCTTTCTTGGATGACATTTTTGCATGACATTTGAAGTCAATCTTGAATCAAATAAAGCCGCATGTTCTATGTTATCACGTAAGTAAAGGGAGCACTTATGTGATCCCTATACTTCAATTATTTTCTTAAGTACATATACAATGATTTAGAGTTGTTTGATACACTGTGACAGTACATTGAAGAAACTGAAGAACTTGCAATGAATGCTTTGATGGATAATAAGCACATCCTGGACTTGATTGCAAGAGAACTATTGGAGAAGTCAAGAATAACTGGATTGGTAAGCTATGCTCTATATCTGCTTTTTTAGTTCTCCTTAAACTGGAAGAAGTGGTGCGCTGACTATAAAAAGTACTTATGTTTCACTTATGTCAAAGTCTAAACTAACTGAAAGGGTTTTGTATGAGGAATAGTTTTGTAAGATGTTCAATGGAGGCCTAAAATTGGTTTTATCTTTTGAACACCTCTCAGGCAAGAGCCCTTTGGGCTTGAAGTATGAATTATTTATAATCCTGTTTTACCTTATGGGTAAATTTAAGTTATTTATGAAGAAAGGTAGGGCTACTGATCAAATTTACGAATGACCAAGTAATAGAGTTTTTGATACAAGCTTATTTTTGGAATTTATTTCCCCTACGCCTTGAGTTTGATTTTTGGCTCACTTTTTTCCTTTCTTCTCTCTTCTGATGAAAGCTATGTTTCCACAGGAGGTTGAAGAAAAAATGAAAACAATGTCTCCGGTAATGTTTAAGGACTTTGTGAAGCCATTCCAAGTAAAACTTGAAGAGGTACTTTCTCGCCCTACTGCATAAATTGGTTAAAAAAGATTGCTGATTTGTATTTGTAAAAAGATTAATTTTTATATATGGAGTGTAAAAAGTCTTACATTGCCAAGAAATCACAATCAATAGTCAAACGTTTTTAAAGATTATGATTGATTGTCATTATAAAAAATCTTTAAATGGCCGGTGTACATGGGAATTAAATCCATGAGCAGATTATGAGTCTGCATTGTACACTTTCTTGACTTATCTTTCCTCATGAATATTGCGGTTTTAGAATTTATTTGATTTTCTTCTTGTTCTTATATCTTTATTGCAACTGTTTTCCTCAACCTCACTTATTTGGAACTATATCCCATTTTCCTCCAAAAAAACGCACAGGACCGACCATTACCGCACAATGATAGTCTACGGTATGAGGCACCTGATATATATCCGGCTCCTCTCCATAGATGTTAATACATTTACAAACTCACTTTTGAAGATAGCCTCTCTATTAGAAAGTCAGCACTTACTACTACACATTCATGGAACAATTGGGGGAGAACATAGCGGATGAAGCTGTTATTCAACCAACTCATTTACCTCTTCAATGTCTAAAACCGATTAGCATTGGAGACCTTTAAATATCCTCAGCCATGTTTTTGCTAAATTAAATTAGCTATCATGTATTGTATTTCACAATGTTGTAATTCTGTATTTAACTCTGGTGGTTGTTTAAATTGTATTTATAGTTGAAAATAAAGTTATAAGCTCAAATTTGAGTTTTATTCAGTATGATTACATCTCGTTTTAACAGTAAAAGAATATATATTACAGCTGAATTTGCACAACTTTAAATTTTCTGTTGGATGTAGCCCACAACTTTAAACCATCAGAATTAATAAGTCTAAGTTGGAGAAATTTGAACATGGTACTAATTTCAATTTATCCATTACTGAGACTGTATCTGCCATCTGGGCGGTGACATGGTGTAATCAGGGGTGTGTTCAAATCAAAATCAATCTAAATAAAAATTACAAACAGATTCAAAAAATCGAAAATCACAAAAAATCAAATTTTATTGGATGTATTTGAATGTCATTTTGTGAAAATCACTCGTTCAAATCGGATTTCGGATTGATTTTTTCAAATTGATCCAAACCAATCCAAATCAAAATTGGCCTCGTGTATATATTTTTACTTATTTATTTTTTATTAGTATGATATGTTATATAAATTTATTATTAGATGATAATTATTTTTTAATAATATTTATTAGTTTGGTTTAATCTATTTATTTTTTTTATTTCAACTATAATCGATCACTCTTATTTTGTAATATTAACTTTAATATACTATATATTTTATATTATATCAAATTTATAATTTATTAGTAATTTTATAATATTAATAAAAAATATATTTTATAATTTAAATATTCAAAAATTGATCTAAATTAAACCGTATTAAATTAGATCGGATTGAATTGAATTTTTTTTAATATATCATCTAAAACTGAATTGAACCGTAAATAAATTTATTTTTAGATCAGATGAGGTTTTTTTCTTAAATTCGATCCAAACCGAAACGCAAACCATCTAGGAGTTATAATACTGAATCTGCTCGCTCATAGCTTGCTTTTTGGAACACCAACTGGTTCATTTCATATTTTCTTTTAGTGCCCGTGATACTTGCTTCACAGCCTCTTTTGGTATATGACGGGGCCGGCTCAGCCAATGTCCACTATCAACCACAATAGTGCTGCCATTCATGAATTTTCCTTCACAAATTTAAACACAAATTAATAAAGTGAAAGGTCAAACAGATATGGATATTAACTCCACATTTTCATTAATTGACAGTTACTAGCCTGCATTTGATACTAGGTAGAGAGCAGCCATTGCAATATCCCATTTCTCCCCAGGTTTATATAGAGGCATTTCGTCTCTGGATTTGTCACCAACTCCTTCAGGATCCATTTTAGTAATGCCAGAAGTGCCACTTATTGGACCTGGTGCAATCCCATTAATTCTAACATCATGATCTGTTCCCCATTCAAGTGCCAAGTTTCTTGTAATGGCATCCACAGCTGCCTGTTGAATAAACAAAAATTTAAGTTTAAAGAGTTTATTGGTGGACATACATTGTCAATGTTAATTCAACAACTAGATATTGTGTTTAAACAAAACCTTTGCTGCAGATACGTGAATTTGATATCAAGTAGCTGTAGAATGCAAGGTAACAACACACTAAGGTTAATTATCTTATCCCACCCTATGTCTTTGAAAATAACCATATAAAAACTCCAATTTATCTTTGTATTTTCGGAAGTGTATTTCCGGGACACACTTTTTGTTGTTGTTAAACTTTAGTTATTTCGGGAGATGCATTTACAGGAGGGAACTGAAAATGCAATCCCGATTAATTAGTGCGAAAAATTGAAAATTCTGTCACTTTTGCATGTCAGATATTATCGGAAGTGTATTTCTAGGAAAAACAAAAGTCAAATTGCTTAAAACAACAACTAGCATGAACCAGGGTGATCACCTTCATTTCCAAAACTTTCCATAAACCCTTTCCAAAAACCCTTCCATTCTCAATCAAGTTTTTCACTCCAAATCTTCATTCTCGTGGTTCATCATATCAAAAAGAGCTAAAGGAAGTAAAATTTAAGGTAAAGTTCATTCATATCAACTCACATTCATCGTATTAAACTGGTATTTCATGGAAACAAGTCACGCTAATATAAAAAATATACTTCCGGATACGCTATGAACTGAACCCGATATACATTTCTGGTTTCTATTTGTGCTTATTTTCCTGCACTTTATTCGTTAATATGGATGTTTCTTAGTTAAATAATTTTTTTTTTTACATTAGGTATGATGCATCCCGATGCTATTCCCAAGCTTATTGTGTTCCAAATTATTTCACCTCTCTTAGTTAAGGCGGTAGATATTCGGAACCATTTTGAAAATGAACAAGAGTATAAATTTCGTGATGGCATGTTGTAGTGGGTTCGTACAAAGGCCACCAAACTAGAGTTTAGTGTAGTGATCAGAAGGTCTGATAATGGTTCAGATAGAAGATGTGTATTTGTGACATTGACATGCGGAAGAAGTGAGAAATATAGTCTTATCCGGAATTTGAAACGAGATGAGAATATCCATTTAAGTTGCGTGGTTATCAGTTGACAAATAATAAATGAATTTTTAATGTGATATGTGGTTTACATAATCATGATTTATGTGTAAACTTAGTCGGTCATCCAATTGCATGTAGACTCTTGCCGAAAGAGAAGGAATGTGTTTTCGACATGACAATGAATTTCGTATCTCCCAAAAACATGCTTGCAACCTTGAAGTGCAAAAGACCAGAGAATATCTCAAATATCAAGCATGTGTATAATAGGCGCTATCAATCCAAATTAGCACTTAGGGGGAATCAAGCTAAAATACAACACCTCTTGAAACTTATAGATGATAACACTTACGTTTCTAGGCACCAGAGATATGAGGATGGAGTAACAGTAAGAGATATATATATATTGGACTCTTCTTGATTCCATTAAATTGTTCAATATGTTTCTCACTGTTCTTATAATTGATTCAACGTATAAGACCAACAAATACATACTTTCATTGTTGGTGTTACATCGACTGAGAAGACGTATTCTTTTGGTTTTGCATTTCTAGAGTGCGTAAAAGAGGACAACTTTGCATGGGCTTTAGAGGTTTGTCGGTCAATGTTGAAGGACCAAGAAGATATGCCGAAAGTCATTGTTACTGACTGAGATACCATATTAATGAATTCGGTTGCACCAATATTTCCCACTTCTTATGCATTACTTTGTAGGTATCACATTACTAAGAATGTGAGAAGTCGTGTTAAACTCACAATAGGGACAAAACAGATAGTGGGTGAAGATTGAAAACTAGTCAAGGCGGTCGTTATTGTGGAGAAAATTATGGATGCATGAAATGTTGTAATAAATGCATATATAAAAGAGCTATATGTTGATGCTGTTATACATTTCAGGAAGGTGTGCGTGAAATATTTATATTTGTTGAAATATGTTGAAAGCACAATTTTGGACTAGGTAAAGGAGAAGATTGTTTGTGCTTGGGCCGATCATGTTATGCACTTTGGAAATACAACAACAAACCGAGTTAAGTTTGATCATGCTTGTCTGAAGAATTGATTGGGAAATAACAAGGGTGATTTGTGTGCGAATTGGGAATATGTGAACCAAATGATACTCACTACTACAAAACGCGCATACAAAAACGCCAAAGTCACCACGGTTCTTCCAAACACTGTGATATCACTTCTAAACTCATGCGCTAACATTTCTTATTTTTTAATTAAAAATTTTAAGGGTATAATAACGGTTTATGAGAACACCGCGGTGATACCATCAAGGTTTCATGGGTTCGAACGTCATCACTCTCAAATAGTTTGTTCCTTTTACGTCAATGCACGTATTTTAATTTTTATTTATATTTAAATTAAAAATAATAGGGATATCACTATGATTGTTTTATAAAACCGTTATTACACACCAACACTTCTTTATGAAATTTCATTATGCAAAAAATATATCATTACGGTTCACAATAATGACCGTGATGATAAATACTCAGTGTTTAATATATATATATATATATATATATATATATATATATATATATATATATATATATATATATATATATATATATATATATATATATATATATATATATATTAAACACTCAGTATCTATTTTCAATTGGAAAAAGAAACAAGACGAAACAACCCTAACACCAATGACGTTGTTATCGTCAAGAAGGAAGACAACAACACCAACACAATATTCTCCTTTACAGCACATAAAATATTTTCGAAATTATTGTTGTTTAGTTTCGTTTCAATATCGCATTTGAAGACAAACTCATCCAAAGGTGTTTCTATGTCCTCTTCTTCTGCAAAATCCCAATCTGTAAATTTTTGTGGTTGTGATGGTCGTATGGTTTCGTACCAATGCAAGAAGGTTATGTATGAAGATTCAAAGAATAAGAACAAGAATTTGAAGAACAAACTGAAATCAGAGAGATTTTCTGGAAATTTGAAGATGTTATGTTTTGTTATTTCCTTTATGTTTAATGTTTACTTTATCATGAAATGTAATAGTTGAAGTAGAGTTTGAATTGCATTGTTGATGTTAAAACTAAAAATGCATTGAACTTGACAGGAATGCAACTATCAGACGATTTCTTACGAGTAATTTCATCGCAAACTGTTGAATTTTTAATTACAGTTAACTGTTTGTTATTCAGCTTTTCAAAGATGTCTGTATATTAGTTGATAGATTTCGTAGCTGATAGTTTAAGCTGATAGTTTAAGTTGATAGTTTAAGTTGATAACCTTAAGAGAGTGAGAAAGCCCTAGAGTTAAGCAGAAAGATTAAAATTTCATTACATAAACTTTCATTAGAG